TCTCTAAGTATCTCAGTCGGAGCTCTGGCTTAGAGACAGCTTCTGGTGAAGTCATGTCAGTCAGTGGTAAGTACCATTGACCTTATTACTCTCTGAGTCCCTTAGCAAGCAAGATTTCATATTAAAGAACCAAAATAATCGAAGCAGTATGCTCTTGCTTTTATAACTTTGTCTTTTTCATTTTCTTAGTTCAGTTCTTGTACTTTTTTGGTTTAATTTGGTGTTGGGTGTTGTCTCAATTATCTCGTTTTGGGGTTGATTGGTGGGGTGTTTTTAGTTTTGCTTTTGGTTTTACTTCTACTTTTGCTTTGTTGTTGTTTTTTTAAACTTCCTGCAAGAATTTTTTTCCTGAAATAAGTTGCTTTAGAATTTTTAAAGCTTTCTGACAGAAAACACCACAGAAAACAAAGATCCAAACATATTAAAATGTAAAATGCATGACATACGGAGCACAGGCTCTATGTATTATTTAATCCAAAGAAAATAATCGTATGCTTAATCTGTGAAGCTCATATGGAAATGTTATGCTATTAGAGTGCTAGAGGAAGTTTAGGTCTGTTTGGATGAGATTCCTAAAAAGTAGTGGCAGTGGCTGGTTGTCACAGAACCCCGCCCCAGCAACATCTCAGTGCAAGTGTCCATGGCAACAGCCTCAGGCAGCAGCTTTTAATGATGGTTGCCATGGCACCATCCTGGTTGTGTCAGGTGCATCCATGGTCCTGCTGCACTGCCAGCCCTAAGGAGCTACAGCCAAGGTGTCCTGCAGGGAATGACAACAGCAGGCTTCCTGCTGGCACCCTGTTGGAGCACTAGTCCTGCTTCAGCTACAGAGCTGACAGAGAGAGCCACAAACTCAAACATAGCTGAGAAGTCTCTGGGTCATCCTGTATCTAATTGGTAATATGCACATGCAGATCAGCAAGTTTAAAATTCAAAAGAGAATTTGTACTTTTACATGTTTCTGTGTAAGAAGAAAATAAGCTTTTCATGTTTAAAGTGAGGTTTCTTACATAGTGACTATGGTATGGTATAGACTAGAATAGAACAGAACAAAACAAACTGCTATGGTTGGAAGGGACCTACAACAATCATCTAATCCAACTGCCACTTCCAAAGACCTTTTTGCTAACCCAAAGAACACTTTGGATTAGCAGAAAGGTTTGACCAAAGTTAAATTGCTATTGCTAATGGTACTGTCCAAATGCCTCTTGAACACTGACAGATTTGGGGCATCAACCACATCTCCAGGACACCTGTTCTATCTGACCACCCACAACCCTTTTGGTAAGGAAATGCCCCCGGTATCCAGTCTGAACCTCCCCTGCTTCAGCTCTGAACCATTCCCATGCATCCTGCCCCTGGAGGCCAGGGAGAAGAGCTCAGCACCTCCCGGTGCCCTTCCCCTCCTCATGAAGCTGCAGAGAGCAGTGAGGTCACCCCTCAGCCTCCTTTTCTCCAAAGTGGACAAGCCCAAAGACTTCAGCTGCTCCTCACAGGAGGTTCCAGCTTTGTTTCCTTCTTCAGGACGCACTGAAGGACCTTCCTGATGCTGCTCTTGGCCACACTGGAGCTCTGGGCTAGCTCTGTGGTGCCACTCCGGCACGGGCAGTCGCCAGGAGTGGGGAACTGCAGGGGAAAGGCGATCCCACTGCAGAACCTTCAGAGCACCGAATCCTGCCGGGCTCTGCCAGATCAGGTGTCATGGGTGGTGGTAAAAAGAAGGAGGAGAGTCTCTTGGTAGAAGTTCCCAGGAACAGGGAGCACCTCTGTGCACTGGATTTTATCTCAGGGGTGGGCACAGTCCAGGGTCCAATGGGAGCTCATGGAGGGAGGGGTAAGGGGAGGAGGTTACAATGTCAGGGATCAATGGGGATACAAAGAAGGCGGGAATGTAACACATCAACCAATAAAGTATCGAGGAATGGATGACATACAAGGAAGGGTCTGGA